ACAATGTCCCCAATCAATTAGCATGCACTTACCAACACTCTTGGATTAGACAGTTTTTGATATCATTTATGATACGTTACATAGAAGGTCAGACCCTGGACAGCATTGAAACTAACTTGTGATTATTACAGGGTATATAGCGTTTTCTAGTTTATTTATTGGATACCGAACGCCTTGACTTTTAATTCCCTGCGTATTGAATAAAGGCAATATCTACACGTTGATACTCTACAAACTCGAAAAACTGCCCATAACTATGTTCTTTATGATGTAAGTCATTTGTTTGCTGTTATTTAACCAACCGATTTTGGATAATAAAACAATGTAAAAGGAAATAGCATTCTATTTTTAGCATCCTGAGTTCTCGTCATTATGACCCTACAATCATATCAATATTATTTGGAATTTATCTTTATAGTTTGAACAGTATGAGAGGAATCATATGTTTGTGCTCACGTCTTACATATATAAAAAATTTAAATGCTTTAACCAAACAACATCCATTCGTAACATATTTGATGTGTCGCTAGCAGTAGAATCTAGTATCCGTATGTCGCCCTATCTAAGGCTCAACAGTTGAATATACCAGCACTTCTATACTGATGTTCACACCGAAAATCCAATCTATTACCTTACGCCTCAGAAGCAAAACATTAACAACTGATATACTGAACCGAGTTAACCACTAACTTGGTCAAATCAAACTTGCATAAATTCTGACTGACAGACTCAGATTTGTATCCTTATTGTTACTAATCAGGATACTTATGCACCTGTAGACTTACTATGATTCGTTAAACAATTTTTATCGTAAATTTATATATGTGTGTACATATATATGTTTTTTTAGTTAAACCACAGGAGAATCTAGTTCACAATCATATTATTGATCCATGTGTCTTCTAACCGTTTTTACAATAGTCTTATAATAGTTGTTCTGCTACAAACTGAAATAAAGTTAGTGACACCAGCGTTAACAGCTCTACTCAATAAATATTTAATCACTTAGTCATAATTAATACTCTTACTCTGAGTGTAGTTTTCTCCATTCCGCGAGTTCTTTCAAAACGATATCACATTCCTTACGTAAATAAAATTCTTCATTCGTAATTGTTTCATGATCCAAAACTGTTTTGATATTGTTGGTCTGTTGGCCACTATGTTCATTCTGAGTTGGATTCCCTTCTTTCAAGCTGCATACATAACTCTTGTCCAAAGCTGAACTAGTTACACTTTCACTTTCTAATCTCAGACAAGCTGATTGTATTTTTTCAATCTTACCTGTCTGGAGTGAAAATCTTCGACGACGCAGTGCTGTACTAATACCTCCACATATAACTTTGCCCGTTGTAAGCTCAGAAACAAGCTCTTCATCATCTGAGTTAATTAAATGAAAAATAAAGGAATTATAAATATATTTAATTTTAGCTAAGAAAACGCTTTTAATCTAATAAGCTGTCTTTGTTTAAATCAAAAGTCGTTAGATTGAATGTCATCTTATAGTTCAGTCGCTTTTTAAAATATTGCAAACATATAAGTTTATGAACTCATAAACTGCCAACTCAGGAAGTGAGAATTAAAAAGTATTATCGCTGGAACAAGTTGGTATGTTGATAAGCACCAAATTGTGATATAGCATCATGAAAAATTATGGACGAATGTCGCACTCACCTTCCTTTTCCATCATTACAGACGAACTTCTAGAAAGCTTCAGAGTGTTGTGACTATCCTTAGGTTCAGTAAACTGTATAGTGTTTTTTTGATACTTCTTCAATGCTGATGTTGGTCTTAGACCTAAAGTTGAACGACCCGCTTCTATTGCCTCTCTGGTGGCCAGAAGATATCCCGACTTTTCTCCGTCTACAATATTTTTCTGAAGATAATTTATTAAAAATCAACTTCTAAACATCTTTTTTCAATGCCAAAATCTGAAAACAAAGCTACAGGAGAGAATGAGCACATAGTCTTCTAATAATATCCATCTTTTATTTTGTGACAGTGGCATATTCTTTGTGATCAATAAATTAGGGAAAGTTATGGAAACTTCTAATTATAAATAATATTAGACATGATTGGGCATAAAACTGCCTAAGCCTTTGTTGTTACTACGGACAATCATTCAATATTGTGGTCTCGTATTTATATGGTACTTACACATCTTGATTCAAAATTTTTCCCCGTTTTTGATATACAGAATTATATTTTTTCCGATGCGGATTATAAATTATTATGCCCTTAATTGTTCTAGATCTGTGAATCTCAGCCTAATATACAACCTACTAACATCTTAGATATATAACCTTAAACTCTTAGGTTCTTACAACCTTACCATATTTTACTTTTAAATCAATCTCAAATAAATGTGGTAAACCAGTTTCGATTTCCATAAAGACGAGCTTCACTAATCTTCATTGAAATGAAAAAATGTTATAGTACACCGCAAATTATCAACATTTTTTAATGTTCTCGTTTCCTCGAGATTATAAGGAAAGCTTTGTATGGTGATGTTGTGGTGTGTGCTACTGATGTCGACAGATATAAGTAATATGTACCACCGATCGAAAGTGGAATGCCTGGAGGCAGAAAATTAAGAATATTGAAGAGTAGAGAACCAGAACAGAGTGATTGGTGTGGAAACGAAGAAACAATGAAGTCTGAGACAATTGATGGACATTTTACAAATAAAGTATTTACTGTGTGGCTCTCACGTTTTACCAAGATATTCTATAATGTTGTACTAAAACGCATTTTGTTGGCCCCGCCTGTGTTCCCGTTCACTGCAATGTCACTATTTTATTTGATCTTTTTGTAGTAATCCGGTTTCTTAAGATTGTTGAATATAGTTGGGTTCTCGCAAAACAGGCAATAATGGAGATAGTAACTTAACTATTGTAAGCAACCACAGCAGATAAACTTTATTTCTACACCTTGAATTTAAGAAAACAAAGTGGCTCCATTTGTGAGTAACTAAAAAAATGTATAGTGATTAATTACTTTTATAAGAGACCATCTATGTTACTAGACTTTTGGGTATATACAACTTCTGTGTCTTCCAAACAACTAGATAAGATTCAACCAACCACTGTTAGAATCAGTGTCAATATCCAAAGAAAATAACCACATACATCTGAAAAACATTTTCTGTGAACTTTATAAATTTAATTTTTCAGCGAATCTATTTCTAGAATCCATGGAGAAAAACTTGGACGCGATATACTTTTAAAGACTTTTTCCGACAAAACGTAACGGACAATCTAGAACCAAAAACATATTACGGCTTTAAGGGTGGTTGATTTTAATGATCTCAAAACTTGAATACATGTATGTAATCACCACACATCTTTCTCCCAACTAAAGGACCAGCAAATCCTAAACAAGTGCATTACCTGTTCGATTAATTAACGAAATAAGTTGATTTAAGAATGATAGTTATGATTAAGCAGAAACGTGATAATTCACTTAAATTTTCAAATATAAAAGATCAGTAGATGGACTCTCGGATAAGAATACATTCGCCGTACAAAAAGCAAAATAAATAAGTGAAATTATATCTCTTATATATTATCAAACTGTACTAATTCTAGAGAAGCTAGAATAATGGTAAATGATGCACAAGCGAACGTATAATTTAATAAATTAAACGATAATTTTCGAAAATCATTATTGTAACCAACATATCTTATTTCGTGTGTTTTTCACGAGCACGCTTTACTAACTGTACACTATACAGTTTTGTAATAAGCGCAGAAACATCAGAACCCTGTTATTTCAACTTATATGTATAAGACGTACAAGAGAATAATGAAAACAGTGTCTCTTAGAGAAGCAATAAGGTATTTTGGGGTAATATTTATATTTGTTTACTCCCTATTCTTAAACTAAAGATTAAACTTCTTCAGACAAAGCCAGTGTTGTGATTTTTTTATCTTAAAGTATGAGGAATAGTAAACGTACCGTTTTACCAGATATTAGACCAATTTCTTTCAAGAGGATGTTTATATACTCCCATTCACTATCGAACTTGGTTATATCATATTCCCCTGAATGTGAAACAGGATTTTTCTGTATTGGAATGTCATCAAGGACGGTTATCTGTGGTAGTTCTTCTCTCACAACTTTTCTGTACCTCTAAGACATTATAAACCGAAATATTACTTACCACTTTCCCACCATGTTTTGCAACAAAAGGATTTCCTTCAAGAGTAAGGGAAGTAAGATTGTGACAGAGACGAAGGTATGACAAACTGCTTCTATCTTCAATCAGGTTGCTTTATTATGTTAAATTAGATGTAGCAAGTTACCCCTCAAGATCTATCACTTCGATATTGTCCAACATTGCACACGGACTAAGATCCGATACTCCATTGAAAGCTATGTATAATTCTACTAGTTTTGTAAAACTTGATAACCCATCAAGGCTAACAAGGCAACAGCGAGGCATCCAAATGACCTCCACATTGTTGAGAAATGTACCAAGATCTCTTCATACGGTTAAATGGGAACATAAAACTCACCGAACAGACGGAATATTACTATTAGATAATCTTAAATGTCTCAAGTTCGGTAAATATGTCCCGAAGTTTGCTGCCGACATTCGATCAGTATCAATCTCAAGATCTAAAGTGGAAACCATGCTCAAATCCTCAAATCCGGTCAACTCCCTCTACATGAATGTTAACATTAAAATAGATATATATACAAGTTTCTGCTCAGACAGGAATTCATCAGTTAGGGTTTCAGATAGCCGTCTGAGCGCAGGTGTTGGATTGACTGTTTTCTCCTGAATCTCTATAATCTGCACTAATGCTGATTTCGGGCGGATATCGCTGCTAAATGTATTATTTTGTAATAAGTAAATAATTATTTATGTTGAAAGATTGTACAACCTGGGTTGAAGTTCAGTCATTGCCATCGCATTATTGATGTTGTTCTTATCATTTTATGGAACTCTCACTCTAATGGAACATTACAAACTATATTACATAAATTAACAGAGAAACATGTTAGGAGTAATTTACACTAGCAACGCGTTTAAAAAGTCGCTCGCCAGAGATGCAGAGTAAAACAAAAATCTTTGTAACGAGCTTGCATAAACCGATTGACTTCTATGCGTTTGCTTCTTTTAAATCTTATATGGCTTCAGATATTTAGTAATATCCAATGAGTGGTAGTCTAGCTACTCGACTTCATTAATTTTAGTCAGTCTCGTTATTATTTGTGGACGTATATCTTTTGGTTTGAGTGAAAGACTTTTCTTCACAGGACAATAACCACACTGTCAGTCAGCAGGTTGGCTCGCTGCAGTGTGGAAATCATAACTTGATACTTTATGTGCTAAATGAAGACGATTGTTTCAAGAACTACATGAAAAAAAACTATTGATTAACTCGTTATCTAAACGGTGCAAGAAGACTTTAGTGTAGAGCTTAAAAGGGAAGTGAGATGATGAGACAGATAGGAATTAGTTTGTAATATATGATGAATATAACATGTATAAATTACGAGACATAACTCAGATACAGCTGGTTCAAGTGGGAAATGGAAATCCATGAGTCGGCTCATATTGCAATTATCCGTTCTTGAATTTGTCTACATAGAAAACTGTCTATTTGGTTCAGTCATATTGTTTGACCGTTTAACCAGTAGAATGACATTTTCGTTTTTTTCATGAGGTGAAGAGCATTAGAACCAATAAACGTGTATATGCGTAGGATATAAGAATGACAACGGAAAGGGCTTCAAGAGAAAGAAACATGAGGCAATTATGTGATGCTGGAAATCATCGTTAACCAAAACGACCAGTGAAAAGCAAACAAACAAATTAATCACCAACAGGCGGGTAAAGCAATAAAAAAACTGTTCATTTGACGAGCTCCACCGAACCTACTCAATATCGCAGCAGAACACACGAACCTCTGAATCGATGTTGACTCACCAACGATTGGCCATAAGACAAATCAAGGACGGCAGAGCAGCAGGAGTAGACATTATTCCGGCAGAGCCACTGTGAGCAGACATAGCACCAAATATAAATATATGCCCAATTCACCTCAGCAAGATTTGAGATGAAGAACAAGTACCAACAGATTAAAAAGCAGGACATCTCATCAAGATACCAAAGAAAAGCGATCCCAGCAAGTGTGAGAACTACAGTGGCATCACTCTCCTCTAAATACCAGGAAAAGTAAGTTCAGATAATAAAGGATAACATAACAGTCAGCTTGTAATGGCTAATAAAAGCTGATACATTGACTTTTGTTAAAAAAGAATTGTGTCATTAGTTCGAAAACTCTGGTAGGATTTAAATGAATTTAATTTTTCCTTATCTTACCATTTAAATAAACTAGCTTCTTGTACGAATTTGTTGACCAGTCCGTGGACAGTTCAACCAGATTAATTTTAAAATTGAGCTAGGTGCCAAATTAAAATTTTGAGATAATTAGGGGTATTTGAGATATGATACAAATCAAGAATCCTGGAAATAACGCAACATAACAAAGAAGTATAAGATGAGCGCGAACAAACGTATTGAATTTAAATTTCGAAATCATGCAGTCAACAAGTACAAAAAAGTCATTATTTCATACAAACACCACAAACACATCTGTAGAGAAATAAATGTGCTCAGAGACATCTGCGAATTTTTCGTTTTATAAAATAAATTTGCGATTTTCCATATTTCATTCCTACTCACACCTAATGCTCTGAATATTCAGGACAACCTCGTGTAAACCAGTCAACTATTTTCTAGTACTTTGGCTTTTTATCAATATTGTTTCGTTGTGTTTTTGATCAGAAATCGTCAGCAAGATGAAAAAACCTGGCTTCAGCCGTTAGATGACCTTGAAAGATAAAGGATTTTACCTCAAAATATATCTAATACAAACCACCATTTGAATTTACAGAAGCTGTTTCAGATAAATAAATGAAGACATTGGAATACACCTGATATCTTGAACCGTTCATGTAAAGTGGAAAATTGAAGCTAAGAAATTCGTCAGCTCAAGCAAGATTTGGACACTTATTGGATATTGAAAACAGCGCTGAGTATTAAGTCAAGGTTACTTAGGGTCTTCGTTTTGCAAAAGTAACTTTTAGTGATCTTATTTGTTTTCAGCTGGTGTGTGTTTGACAAGAATGTCACTCAGTCACCTTTCTTGAGCTTCAATAAGAATCATAACTACATGATTTTGAGTTATTGATGACCCTAACACTATAGTGATAGCTATTAATGTTCACATCGTTCATCATCTATTGTCAGTAACGTTAACTTTGGTGAAAAGCAGACCTTTGGGGGTTAAGGTTTCGATTTCTAGACATTGCCTTACAGTGAGGAATTTTCGGGAAGGATCTCACTATTTACCTGGGCCGGGGTGAAAGCGACAATACTTCAAGTTGTCGCTTATATTCACATCAAGGTATAAGGACTTTTCGGAAATTCCCCTTAGTTTCGCATCAAATTCCCATTTCTTGTTTGTCTAGGTTGATGCAACTAAGTGGCTAGATTTCAATCAACTGGGGTTATAACCTCAATGGACGTTGCAAAGTATCTTCAACTGTCTGTCAGCATTAAAACTTAACTTCAAATAAATTGACTAATTAAAACTAACTCGTTACAAATGTACTCTAATAATCAGTGTATGTCTCATTAGTCCCAATTAAGGTTGCTTTTTATCGAATCCGGAAGGTGTTGGGCTAGTTGTTTCTCCAAACTTTTACTCCTTTGGGAAGTATGTTCAACGTCACTCCTTCCCCGTCACGAATGTTTGCTGTGGTGATTCTAATAGGGTTGTGAAACGTTATTACACTATTTGCCCAAAAAGATAGTTTTACTGTTTGAATCGATGATCTGATATCTAGTCTAATTATTTAGATCGTTGTGGCTTACACCAATTTTGATTTATATACTGTCGGAATGTTTACTCGTATACACTACATCCATCTGGCTCCCACAAGGCAACGTTTAACAAATGTGAACTGTATATCCCACGAAGTTCCAGTAATTTATCCCCCTCAAAGCAGAATAATGGATTAGTGCAGCCGCATAAATAAATCTCCAACGTTTTCACAGGCTTTCAATTCTAGTGATAAGACTTGATAATTTCTAAGTCAATGTTGCAAGAGTAACTGCTTGAGTAACTTTTCTTTGGGGTCTGTGGCCGACTACAACTTTACTTATGCAGTATCCATTTCAGTAATATGACAACCACCCACACACCTCACGAAAGTGGTTGTGACTGGATTACTCAACTTTCAATCATTGGGCTGGAAGTCCGGACCCCGTTCCACCCCTTATACTGGTAGTCGGATAGTATTACTACTATTTACAAAAAGGAAGCTGACAGCCGAACACATAAATCTGTACTTAGTACGTAACCCACATGATTATCGTTGTCCCGGAAGTACTTAAATTAATCTTATCCACAACCCAATCCATTGTTAAAATCCTAGAATGTCCCTGCTTGTATCACTAGTGCTAACTGTTCGAATTGGGTAAGTTAATCCATGGTGTTCTGGAGTCTCTCTCCAAACCACGTCTTCAAGATCCGAGTGTTCAAATCCTTTATCGAGTCGGACAACAAGGTTCACTAAGATTTATTCTTTGTCTCCCTCCAAACTTTGGTCATAAGAATTAGTTTATTTTCTGTCTACCAATTTTATTCATCCCTTTTGATCTCTACTACCTATGCATCTCTATAATTCACTACATTAGCACACCGTCAAGATATTATGCCAAAATGGCAGACCGCTTCATCCCGTAAATTTTCATCAACTGATGTGCTTAAGATGCTATTCATGTTCAGCGAGTCCTTACTTTGGTGGCCAGTACAGGTGAATCAGGGATGGTTTGAAAAGAAGGCTAAAGGTGCCTAAACCTAGAGTTGTTGTAAGCCCGTGCTGTCACTGATTTCTGGTATAAACCCTGTGGACAATTGTAAACTACTTGCTTGTATTCTACGTGATAATCGCAATAATAAGCTCAAAATTTTGAGTGACAAGACTCGGCATTTAGGGCGTTGTGGCAACTTATACTTAGTACATGGATTCTATTTATAGTTGAAGTCAAATTGTTAGGCTCTTTTTCCAAGTGAGTTCTGAGGATCTAAAGTCTTCAACACACCTCCCCTCTTTAATAGCGTACTTTCCTGGGGTCGACTTGCATCTTGGCTATAGTTCGCCGCTATCGGAGACGCCACCTTCTGCAACGGAGATCAGCTTGTTGCTGAGCTTTTTCTCGTGGTGGGGCTGCTGGTAAGTTGAAGGTATCAAGCAGAATGTCAAGGGGAAGATTTACTCCTGTTGATGGGTGGTCTGGGGCTATCCGCTTTCGTAGTTGGTTTCGGTGTGGAGTCCACGTGTCTCCCCACCTTTACCTCGTACATAACTTGGCCTAGTCTTCCAACCACACGTGCTTCGGTCCAAGGGCCATGATTTGCTCCGTAGTCTCGAGCGAACACCGGGCACCCAACCTCGTACGTTGGTAGCTTCTGAGACTTTGTCTAAGATGGTGGTGGTGTGGTTCTTGGGCGCATCACAAATACATATAATTTATATCATGCTAGTTCGTCAAAAAAGTATAATGTACACTAACGGTCTTATGTCGAATGGAGTCAGTCAAATAAATGTCATCGTACAATACACTAAAAACAAGTCAGATTTTACTTTATGATTTGTCTTGTTGGTTTTCTTTGTCGTTTAGGATGACACAAAATACGAGCATTCCAGTCAGTTATCCTATGATGCCTCCGATAGATGATTTAAATAAATATGCACATTTATTGCAAGTCATTGAAGAAATGGGACGAGATATTAAACCAACCTACGCCAATAACAAAAATGCCGCAGAAAGACTAAAAAAGAATATTCACACTGCTAGGATTTTAGTCAGAGAATGTGTTTCAGAACTTGAACGTGTTATGAAAGCGTAGCATTTTTGTCTTCTATCCTTTATCTATTGTATTCTTTAATTAAACAAAATAAACTTTCATCTTTTGCTTTTCAACTCATAATGTACATTGTTGGTTCGTTCTACAACATGTTTTTCGCGTAGATCAGTGCCTTTCAACGTTAAAATGTCTTCGGGATATCTAATAGTTCTGTGTATTCGTTTCATTATCATATATAAATGGACTAAAACTGTTGGTTTAGGCTTGTTCAGTACTTGTTGGTACTGTTTTATTTAACTTCGTACGGCTAAGTGAATTAAACACCTTAGAGAAAGCGCTAGGATTATGTGTTATAACAAATATGCCGTAGCACGAATTTGTATTACATAAAATGTGTTCCAAACAAGCGATCAGTTGGACAAAACAAAGATAACTGAAATGAATGAATCTTAAGTATATATATATGTACATATATATATATATATCATCGTACATGTATGTCAAAAAATGTCTTGAACCAAAATTAGAGTACTTAGACCAAATAGACGATCATCAAACATTCATACAAGTCCATGTGTACATAGGTAAAAGTTCTCAGTTACATATGAGAAGTGCACAATAACTAATATCACAATTATACATCTGACTGTCAAGCATGTCTCATATTTCTTTCAGAGAACAGGTGTACAAACAAACTGAAAATAGTGAATTGGTTACTCCCAAAAATTAGGTCATATTCTCAGTGGACCACTCCTCGAATGCCCAACCTAAGAGTCTAATCTACAAAATATTGTTGCTATGTTAGAAGATGGAGTTTCATATACGTGGCAACCAAATACATTCAAATAGCGTTCGCTCTCATATTAAGGCAGTACGTAGGGCTTCCTGATAAGCTAAAGAATTCCCTAGGCATTTAAGAGTATTTCAAAAGGGGAAGTAGAATTACTTTACCGTCAAGCATACCAAGATACTTGGGGATGGTAACTCTGTACTGCAATTCGATTGGAAACGCTCTGAACACATAAGACGAGAATTAATTGCATACTTTGTAAAGGATGCGATTAGAGATTGTATGCAGCGGAATCCATTTCCGGAATTCTGAATGGTAGAAATGAGGGATTTTTTTAATACCATGAGAAACCCATTTTTCTGCTTGTAGCCGAATTAAGTACTTAACTGTTGAAGTTGGTAAGACTAATTAGAACAATTGCTTGTGTTTTCAATATTTGCCAGATATTTCTGCAGTTGTCAACGAACACATTAATGTTCACAATAACAAACAGATTATTAAGAAAGGAGATAATAAAACACTACATAAACATTTTGTATTTAGGTGCGGATATAAACCGACGATCTTTTTAGCGACACTCCCTAAATGCATAAAATATCTTCAGTTTAACTGGTAGCTACAATAAAAACAAACTTTTCGGTTAGACTAATTTATAGACGACCTTTGAGCGACTCTAAAGTGGCCTTGGGGATATCCACCAACTTACTAGCGCTAAATGAGGGTCATAAATCTATGTGAAGAATATAGATTATGATTTGTAGTTGGTGGTTAGGGTTAGGAATTAAAACTAGGGTTTTTATCACCAATTGATATCAGCTGAAATGCCAGAACTCTATTTGGTCAAAAGTGTGAATGGATCACAGACCTATTATCTCAAGTCAAATATGTTATAGTCTCGCCGTCAAAATATCGTACAAAGTGTCCCATATACATCTCATACGCAGAAATAACACTGAAAGTAGCATAAATCCATAGGCTAGAAGCAATTAGTTAACTAATCAACCAAAGCTAATGTAATGCAAGAATGAAGTTCAGTTATTACGAACTGGAAGACGAGTGGGGATATGTCCGAAAGTTGCGTTCCTAATAGATCCTGTCCTGTTTCAATTCAATTCCTTAAACGTAATTAGGTTGAATTTATGTTATTGATAATAAACCAGATAATATCTTTGTAACTAAACAGACCGAAGTATTTAACGAATACTGCATGTCGTCCACTGAAGCTAATCAATATCCCCGACTAAAATTCAATCTATGTCTAGCAAGTTCATTATTTCAAATGTTCTGCTAGTCATTACTTGGTTGTTCTCAGTACTGCTGTTCAGCGAACACGGTCGCAAATTTTTCCAGAACATCCATAATTGCTCATGCTGAAATCGGTGGTTTGTAAGTTAGAATTGTCCCAGTCCTAGACATAAAACGGCCTACTTTGGTATTGTTTCTGTTACTTCAGCAAGGTAAATTATAAAACAGTACAAATCTCAACACTTGCAAACTATAAGTGTGTTTTACCTATCGGACTAGTAATCTATTTTGAATAAACCTTTATGATTAGATTTAATTAGAGATTTGAGTAATAAGGACAGTACTACATATAATCCACATCTCATGAATCATTTCCATACGATCAACTTTAGTTATAAAGCATCAAGCGGTATGTTACTGGGACTGTACTATCAAATAAAACGACTACATCAGAGGTGTAGTGTTATGTTCCTTTTCGGACCTAGATGGTGAATCTTAAGAAATAAAGTTGTGCTCAACGATTTCTAAGCCTCAAAATATTCATAAGTATAATCCAATTGGAAACAGCATTAAATTAATTAATTATGCTATTTGTGAATGAAAGAAAGTCACGTATGATAAAAATTCTCAACGTCTAACATTTTCCAAAACATATCAGTACGTTTGGTTAACTAAAACACGAGACAGTCACAGTTAGCTAAAAATAAGCTATGTTACAAGCCCTTTATTTTTTTGCAAGTAACGAATACATGTATAACAAAATATATTGGAAACAATACATGAAAAGCAAAAAAATAAAATATTAACACGATAACAATATGTTGAGAAAATTACAGAATAGATTGCCATATACAGTGTTATCGTGAAGTAATAAAACCAGTTTAGCAGAAAGCAAATTATCTGAGAAAGTAAATAAAATTATGTACAGGATATAAAAGAGATATGTTCAATGATAAATTCTAACCTTATAATACAATTATACAATATATTATATACAAGACAATACTAATTATATAGTTAAAATCTTGTGTGAAAGAAAAGCTTATAGGAATTTAGCAGCTCCCGGTGATAAAGTAATCATTGCTAATTTAGTAAGAACAGGAATAGAATGACTAGGTGGTGATTTTTCGAATACTGAATTAGAATTATTCAATTGTTTACGCCTTTTTGTAGGTGTACATTCATTATTATCACTACTATTTACATTTTTAACACAATTAAACGATGCTTTATCTGGAATTGGCGATAATTTCACGTGAACAATAGGCATATCATTTTCTAATGGCTTATTTATTTTAGTTGATGAAGTTAATGGTGAAGAACAATGAGATCTTGAGGGTGAACGTTCAAATCGATTAAGTGAAAGAGACTTATGTGATTTGATATAATGATTATTTGTTTTACGCTTATGATTGGGACTTTCTACATGCTTGTCTGCTCTCCACATATTACAATTTTCAGCGACTAGTGTTAATGCAGAACGAAGTCTCTGTTTAATTGTATCGGAAACAATCAAACATTCTTTAGGAATAGCACTAATATTGAATGAATCTATACTTTCGTTTACTTTTGTAGTTGTATTAGGTATAGACGTCTGTAAAAAACTAGAGTTGTTTTCATTAACAGTATAAACAGATGAAGGCTTTGACTCGTTATTAGATTCACTAATGTAGGACATATGTTTACCCTGATCAACACGCCGATGCGGAGGATTACTATGAGCTAAAAACAATTCCCAATTATCATAAATAGATTCACCGATATGAGCAGTCCGGAGTAATTCACTAGATACTAGACTGTTTTGTTTTTCAAGAGCAGTCAATTGGATTTCAGATATACGCCACATTCTCTTAAACAAAGCTAATTTTCGTCGTTCTCTTTGCAAGACCATATCTGCCATTAATCTAGCCCTGTCAAGACCGAATCTAATACGTTTAAATGACTCAAATGCTTTCATATCAGAATTAGCACGTTCTACTCGAGCTAGTTCTTCGTTGGTCGTGGCAGCTACTTGATCAGCACTTTCTTTCCAAGTTAATGGAACTGGATTGATTAGCGGTTGGTTAAAGTTTGAGCGCCTTTTCAAACGCCAGTAAACGATGATGGCTGCACGAATGTCATTAGGAATGTTTCTGTTTTCACTTTCATTTTGAAAAGCCGAATTTCCTAAGTGCATTTTCATGGAGTCATTATCTAGCCAGATATTCAAGTGGGACTCTTGCACCAAATTATAAAAATTACACTCCAGTTCAAGGAGTCTGTAAATAAAGAACGCAAAACCAAAACATTAATGCAAATTCATATGTAAACTATCAAGGTGAATAAAAAATACTAAATTTTGGTGAAAAACTGTGACATGCATGTCGACATCACATGAGTTAGACTACTACGTACTCCAACCTCACGACAGTTACATAAGAGAGATATACCACTCGATACTGTGTGGAGGACCTGATAAAAATAGTCTACAACCCATACTTGTGCGATGATTTGTACTAATTTCAAGTCATTTACACCTTTAGCGATAAACGAGGACCTGATATCAGTCAGTCACAATGTAGGATTAGGCACATATATGCATCGCTCCAAGTTGCCATACCTCATTAGTACAACAAGATGGACACCGGATTCATAAAAGTAGTTAATTCAGAGGGGGTAATATATAAAAGAAAGATTGCATATAAGGATATAGTATAGGAAGAAAGAATTAGTTCGTAGAAAGAAAGATATGAAGTGATTTTAATCTCTTAGTTTAAGGGAAGACAGAGAGTGTATACACCTACGCCATGTCACCAAGAGTTTCCAACCACTGGTTACGATAGTCACACGGACCCAACCAAGTAGTCTGCATCTACCAACATGGCTCAGACTAGAAGTTAGTGACTTCAAGCACTGATGCCACGTTTTGGTTTGGCCGCCCATAACTTTCTTCCAACCATGCCGAACACCGGTTAGCATTGCATGTCGTGGTAATCGGTGTTCGGGAATACGTAACACGTGGCCCAAGCATCTCAATCGATGAACATTCACAACCTCATCAACTGATTTACCATCATTCCCTAATATCCTGCGTCGAACCTCACTATTACTTACCCGGTGATCCCAGCAGACGCCAGCAATATTTCTAAGGCATCTGTGGTCAAATACTAGTAGATTACGAGTGTCTTCAACTCTTAATGGCCATGTTTCGCTGCCGTAAACTAAAACAGAACGGACTGCTGCGCAGTATACTCGTCCTTTGATTGATAGACGGATATCTCGCCTTCGCCATAGGTGACGTAAGTTGGCAAAAGCTAAGCGAGCTTTTCGAATCCGTGCTGAGATTACGTCACACAGTAGTTAATTCAATTGTACAAATGCATAAAAGAAAGATTGTGTATAAGGATATAATACAGGAAGAAATAATTAGTTCATAGAAAGGTATAAAGCAGTTTTAATCTCACGATTTAAGGAAGGACAAGGAGTATATACACCTACGCCATTGTGATCGATTCTGAGCCATGTCACCAAGAGTCTCCAACCACTGGTTACGATAGTCGCGTGGACGCTAACCAAGTAGTCTGCATCTATGAACATGGCTCAGACCAAAAGTTAGTGACTTAGTGGACTGATGTCACATTTTAGTTTGTAGAACAGAACAGACTGCTGAGCAGTATACTCGTTCTTTTATTGATAGACGGATATCTCGCCTTCGCCATAGGTGACGTAAGTCGGCAAAAACCAAACGAACTCTCTGAATCCGTGCAGAGATTTCGCCAGACGCCAACCCATTAGGGCTGGTCAGACTTCCAAGATGATTGAAGATGTCAACGCGTCCGGCTACCTCACTCCCTATCCTTAGTTCAGGTGTTGATGCAGGCCAGTCCTGAAGCAACAACTTGCATTTAGAGAGGGAGAAGCGCATCTCAAACATCCTGGTATTGTCCCTCAGTGCTACCAGAAGACTCTGCATTTTGTCAGCGTCTTCACCAAACAAAACTATGTCATCTGCGTATTCTAAGTCGATAAGTGGACCTCCTGGAAGGAGATCAATACCCGAGAATTCAGTCGACGAGAACGTTGTTTCCATCAGTACGTCCATGGTGAAGTTTAACAAAAATGGAGAAAGTGGACAGCCTTAACGGATACCACTTGAGGTTGCAAAAATAGATGACAGTTCGCCATAAGCCCTGACTCGACTAGTAGTGTTCGAGTAAAGAGACTTCACAAGGTTTATGTACTTCTGGAGTACGCCTTTCAATGACAGACACTGCCACAGAATCTCGCGGTCTACAGAGTCAAATGCTGCTTTTAAGTCAAGAAAGACCATCATTGTCGGACGTCGATAAGTATGCCTGTGTTCTAGAACCTGACGAACGGTGAATATGTGGTCGATGTAGCCACGACTAGGTTTGAAGTCAGCCTGATTTCCTCATGTTTGTAGTTTATGAGTCTTTGTTAAGCGTCCGATAATTATTGAGGCTAGTATTTTACATGCTATATTAGTCAAACTAATCCCTTTATGGTTATCACAGGATGATTTTGACCCCTTCTTATATATTGGGACAATCAGTGATTGCGACCAGTCTGATGGGATTACGTCCGACTCCGAAAATCTTAGCTACAATACTGGTCAACCTAGTCGCCAAAACTAGACCACTATACTTGAAGACCTCTGGAGCCAATCCATCTGGACCAGCTGCTCTTCCTCGGTTCAGATTAGCTATAACTTTTTGAACTTCAATTATAGTCGGGAGACCCACTTCAATGTTCCATTCACACTGTTTAGTAATGAAGGATAGAGCAGGTGGAAGTCAGTTGAACTGGTCTTTAAAAGTGTTCCGCCCGTCTAGGCTGTGAGCAGATGTGTCGTCTTTTTCCGAGATTGTCTCACTTACACTAGACTTCTTTTTATCAGTCTGAAAAGCTATCTGCTGTTACCTAGAGCCGCTGCCTTTTCCATCTGATTTATTTACGCTTTTCATCATGTTCAGAGCATGGTAGATGGGTTTACGAGAATCTATCAGTGCAACAGACTTAGTAGACCCTTTGGTTCAACTCATTAATAGATGTCGCTGCTGTTTCAACAGCTGTTTGTATATCTTTCCAAGCAACATCCGGGTCAACCTCGTTTTCGGAACTACCTAAGTGTGATCTCAGTTGTTCCTGGAATCTACTTTTAGCTTTCTCAGCGTTGAGTTCAACTCTAATAGATTTTCTCATTGTGGCTTTTCTACGTCCAGTAAGGCGCAAACAAATGCATGTTCGTATTAGAGCATGGTCAGAGTCTAAACATGTGTTCCAGAACGAACGATAGTCTTTTATCGAGCCTCTCCAACAATGACTGATGGCAATATGGTCTAGTTGAGTTCATCGTTGGTTTGATGCAGGGGGTCGCCATGTTGGACGATGTATCTCCTTATGCTTAAAAATAGGGTTTACTAAAAATAAACGATTGTCTGAGCACAGTTGCAGCAGACGATCACTATTATTTGTTCGCTGTACCGGAATACCAAGATACCCACCTAAATGTCTTTCCGTTTGGTTTAAGCCACCTATCTGGGCATTAACATCACCTCCTACGAGTACCATGTCTGAACGTCTAGCTTTCTGAAGAATTTCAGAGAGCTTTCTGTAAAATTCATCTTTCACTTCATCCGAGCTGCAGTCAGTGGGCGCGTAGGCAGAAACGGTAAAAAGACAACGACGTGTCCCTATCTTTCCAAGTTCTGACGGTGCTGTTAAGCCGAACAGCACATAGATGACTGTTAACAGAGATCCATTCTAATAGTGCTTGTTCTGCCCTCGTACTTAGTGCTATGCTTACATCCGCCAAGCCAAGAGAACTAGCCATTGGGTCGCCGGATAATCGGAGAGTTTATCTTGTCGGCTCTCTATTTTGGCGAGGTGAGGTCAAGTGAATGGCCACACTAGGATCCTGTAAGCGTGTTTCGAAGATACAACATATACATATTAAACGAGATTCTAGGATTTTAGTCAAAGAGGTCTGTTGGCTGATTTGACATAGGGCTTACTTTGAACGCTCCAATGTGCAGTTTGGAGCGAGGTTTCAGTTAACCTGAGACAATGTTTCGTGCACTAGAATTGTTGGACATGGTGACAGTTGAGGAGGAAGTCAAAAGAGAGAATTCGGAATCGAAAGTCGAGGTAGGAGGAATAATAGGAACTGAACAGAGAGATTGATTATGAATGCAGTGATCTTGAGTACTGTTAGAAGTATGGGGGCGGTTATTATTTCCATATCGTGGAAGGGTTTGTCTAGAGGTATCTGCAAAGGAAATAGGGTTAGAGGTGGTCTTAATGACCTGAGCGTGACCGCAGTGTCCAAGAGACAACTGCTTGAGGTCGGTCACAAACGACCTTTTTGTGAGTAATTTTCGTGTTACCTCCATACTTGTTGGGACCTTACCGTCGGAGACGGAAATCCATGGGATCAGGCGAGATGTACATTTTCAAGGTCAAGCTTTTCTAATTCCACCCCACCTTGTGGGAAGGTGGCATCGCTGTTATGCTGGTTGTAGGAAGGAAACACTTTACTGCCGTCACACCTCTGTACAGTCAACAGTACGACTTCGCCTTCGGACCTTGGTTTTGTTGCTTTTAGTCTTACCGCTCTTCAACCGACCTGTCTGGAATGTTAGGACCTTGAGGGACGATTGTTCCAGCCAGTATAGCTCGATAGGTTCATTACGATAGACAAGCCCGACCACCACGCCAAGGTAGCAGCAACGGTCGGGTTGCTAAAAACTCAAAACTAGTCACAGGATGACTGAAGATTAACTAAATCATAGCTGAAATGACTCTACTCACCGATTCACTCGTAATATGGTGGATAACTGGTTCATCTCCCCTGATAACAGTCCTATTATTGCTTATTCCTATGCAGTCTTTTTAACATAGGATTCATATAGTCGGATTATAAAGCTATGTCAAGTTACTCCCGTTGTTTTAATGCGTGCATAGTGTGAAAAGTGAATACTTCAATGTAAAGTCTAGAGTGCATCATCAGGAGGTGAGTGGTACTATATTTTACAGTCTTGGATCGTCAACATAACCCAGGGAAATGAAAAAACTGAAGATCTATCGAAAAGGAGAGACGAAGATCCTAATGATGAAGAAAATGAATGACCAAGCCGGGAGAAATCAAAGTGACATTTAACGTAGATTAGTTATTTACAAACTAAGCTCAGTAAGAAAGCAATGAATCAAGCAAATCTTTTTCAAATGAATTGATATCAGATGGTTGGTATCTAAACGAATTTATCAGAATCTTTCTCATTAGCAATAAGGATTAAAATATGTGAGAGTCAGGATGGAGGTTATATAATAGTCAATAAAATTGATTTGCTAGGACGACAGATTAAAAAACTATGATAATTATTAAGATTATTTTTTGGAAAGAAGGGTCAATGATATACAAGGAAGCGACTGGAATGGTTTTTGGTGGGGCAGCCTAAGGAGCAGTCAGTCTAAACTTCGATAACTTCATTTATTTGCTACTTATTAATAGACTGAGAAGTGAGATGAGTCTTTTAACACTTAATTATGTTGGAAAGGTTTGAATAGCTGAAATGTGACAAAACAATGGGTCTTCTTACGATGCGAATCAAAAGACACTAGGTTAATAGGCCCCCAAGTGCTCTGAGTCCGCATAATGTGTCTAAAGAACGCTAATCCACAAACATTCACAACTTACCCCATTGAATTGTCATATTTTCCTAGGGTTATACTCCTAACTAAATAATTGTTTAGTTAGACTATTCTGCATGAATGCACAATATCAGAAATATCCATAGTAATATCATAAAAATCCTTGCATATTTAACCCTAATGGGCCAGGTCACATCCGAAAAGTACTAAAAAGAGAAGAATTGCGCAATACAACATCCTTTGGTGGAGAGATGAATCACGCCTTTCCCATGTGTAGTTAGCTGATCGATCATGTGCAACATAGAACCTGATACATTTCTGCAATGGTTCAAGCTGCCACACCGTATTAGCACAACGAGATAAAATTATCAAAACAAATCCTAGAGAATTAATAGCAGTATTAATAGTGGTAGCAAATACTATATGTAAAAAAGAATAAGCTGTAACAAGATTTTGGGACTCAAGTTCTAAGAGACAAGAAATTAATTCATCTGGACTCACGTTAAGTCTATAACCAGTCATTACGATAATTACATCATCTTCACCAGATGTAATAATTTACTAAAAGTCAAAACAGCACTTTAATTTACAATAATATATGAACCAGCAACTCATTAGGACTGATAAAAAAATACTAGATTATATTAAATAGTATAGACACGACTGTTTTACTTTATCGTCGAATCAAGCACTAGGGTGGACCAGTCTTGTAACGACAATTTAGGTGAAAATCCCATCTCAAACATATTTGCACTCGCGTTGATAAGGATTCATTTCATCGAAATTTTCGCCAATTAAAATTATTAGCGACAACTAGCTAACACTTTCAGAGCATAAAAATAAAAAAGAAGCTAGACTTTTGTGAATAGTCTAGCGAATCATTTCAAAGACCTACATACATAAGATCAAAACAGGAAATGCTATGAATATAAAAATAAACACAAAATACTTCAAGTTTCCATAATTTAAAGCAAACAGATGGATTTTATGTAGAAATAAGAATTTAACTAGATTAAAGCTACAAGACATTTTCATTTAGCGCGAATGATATCCGTTAAGGTAAAGCATACACATAGGAATTAAGAACTGACCTTTGTTTACGCGTTAAGGCTACAGGTTGCGTTCCACTCCCAAAGTTTTGATTTGCATCATGCACCTTGATAGGGGAATTCGGAGCACGAAAAGAATTTGACTCACAGCCAGCAGAAGAATGATGAGTTGTTGACTGTTGTTCTTTTCGGGAATGCTTCCAACACAACCCCTAAAGTACGTTCAGAAGATAAAATCAAAATTTGTGAAAACTGCTAGCACTTATCGAAACGCTTAAGAAAGAATACAATATGACGCCATTCTTGTTTAAATATGATATATGCATTTTAGTGAAAGTAGCTTTGGTTATCCAAAAAAAATTTTAAAAATGAGGATCCTATCCACACTTCAAGAGAAAATGTTGTGCTTCATATGGACTTAGAACTGGTTAAATGCAAGACGAAACATTATTGCTACTCGGTAACAAAATTGTGTGGTTATTTTATTATTATTTAAACACACCGGTACAGAGAGGTACCTAATAGATATGAGCCAGATAAATCATTCGATTTAAGTGAGGCCTCGATTACTGCCCAGATGCCCAAACCGAAACAGGTGGTTTTCTTAGGGTGCCACACCCCGAACCTTCGACCTAAAAGTCTAATTCACAAAGTAGTGGAGCAACGTCAGAAGATGCAGTCCCATGGTATCCAGTGACCAACAATAGGTTCGTACGCCATTTGTTGCCTCCGGATCCTGAAGCTCGTATACATCGTTCAGTCAATCAACTACAACGTAGGATCAGGCACATATATGCATCCGTCCAAGTTGCCATATTCCATCAGCACAAGATGAACACTGGATTCATAGTAGTTAATTCAATTGTACAAATGCATAAAAGAAAGATTGTGTATAAGGATATAATACAGGAAGAAATAATTAGTTCATAGAAAGGTATAAAGCAGTTTTAATCTCACGATTTAAGGAAGGACAAGGAGTATATACACCTACGCCATTGTGATCGATTCTGAGCCATGTCACCAAGAGTCTCCAACCACTGGTTACGATAGTCGCGTGGACGCTAACCAAGTAGTCTGCATCTATGAACATGGCTCAGACCAAAAGTTAGTGACTTAGTGGACTGATGTCACATTTTAGTTTGTAGAACAGAACAGACTGCTGAGCAGTATACTCGTTCTTTTATTGATAGACGGATATCTCGCCTTCGCCATAGGTGACGTAAGTCGGCAAAAACCAAACGAACTCTCTGAATCCGTGCAGAGATTTCGCCAGACGCCAACCCATTAGGGCTGGTCAGACTTCCAAGATAAGTGAAGTTGTGGCCATATGAGAGTATTTCGAGAGGGAGAGCGGAATCCCTACCCTCAACCGCACTAGGGCATCTAGGGGTCATGTGTGGTAGCTTACAACCATGTTATTCACAACTAAAGAGAAGGGAATGTTTCGACCTCGCAATCAATACCAAAGTTGGCACCGAAGTTTAGTTTGACTTCAGATTAATGTGAAGATCTGTAGGGAGTGTAATAAGACTTAGCCCGGAGTTCCCTGTATGGTGATTGCCGGTCCCAACTCCAGGTAAAAAAGTAGGGTTAGCAACTCCTATAGTAAAAAAACCTCTCAGAGAAGCGCAAACCAGAAACAATTAATTAAACTATGCCCTAGAAGTCGAAAGGTTTTCATATAGGGCAGTTGAGACTCATTACGGTCAGTCACAACTGTCTACTCTCTCCATTTCTTTTTTTTGCTAGTTATTAACAGGATCATGAAGAAATATCACAACTAAAAAAATTATAGGTATTTATAGGAAGCCCTTTACGCGAAGTGCTCCAGATTCATTGGTCGGAGACTATCAGGAATAACCGACTGTGGCAAAGGACAAACCAACTGTCAAATGAGAAAGAAATTAAGAGAAGACACGAGGTGGATACGACACATGACGAAAACTGGAGGCAGATATGAATAGCACTTGATAACAAGTGGGAAGGAGAGCGCAGGACAGAGTTGGTTGGCGATCTCTCGTTGGAAGTCTAAGCCCCAGGAGGGGTAATAGGCTTAAGTAAGAGTAAGTCACTTGTCTAATTTTGGACTTGCATTAATAAGTGGACAGGATTTATAGGACTCATACCAACTTTCAATACTGCTAAGGGTTGGGAAAAAAGCCAAAAAATCAAAATAACTCATGGCATTATAGAGCAGAACCTTGATAAGAGATGCGAATTTTCACGTTAAAATCCGTTGTGATTATGGAAATATGACCCGAAAATCACCATAATGAAACAGAAGTATCAATTATTTATTGTTAAGTTCGGAATATTATTTTAAACTTTATATTATCGAGTCACTTTCCTTCATGATCTTTTACGCGTCACCACGTATTGCTGCATTCATTTATGTTTTGTTGGTATAATGAGGTGGAATCTGGGACTCTGTCCACATACATTGTTGTTATGTTCTTCTACTTCTTCCGAAACTGTTATATAACGGGAAAATTCTCCATGGCTTTAATTGGGATACACCTGAAAAATAAACTTATTTTGAATAGCTATTGCAATAGGAAAACCACCTGTTAGAGGTTCTCTTAGTACAATTATAAAGTTTGTGTTGCAAAAAGAGTTAAGGTGATCAGTTAGACTAAAGTTGACGAGGAAACGTCAAACAAGTACTCAAGATCAGTTGTATTTAACAAGTATGACAAAACTAAGTGGCCTTTCAGTTATTCTAAAGTTTAATTGAGGTCCAGAAAGGCTCACTATAAAAGCAGAAACATCGAAAACGATTTGCGATTATAACACCTGACAACTAAAAGCATGAACAAAAGATCTATTACTTTTCTTGATATAAATAAGTGTCATTTGAAAGCAGAAAATGTGGTGTGTACAACATCATAATATTACCCTCACTCAAAAAACAGACCTACTATTAAGCGCACATCCTTGTCGACGAGCTCTTGGCGCATGACGAGGTTGCTTTGGAACGCGCATGTGACATGGAATGCTGTCTTACACTTAACACTAGAACACTGTACAGGAGCACCATAGCGTGAACGACATATTGAACAGAGAAGGTTTCGTCTGGCTTGTGGTATATTGTCTAATTTAATAATGGGTTCCATCATCTCGACGTCCCCAAACCCAACTTCAGGAACCCACAGGGCACAGCTAACATGACACCAACGTTGTCCGTCACTAAGAAAATGATTTCATGACACGCAACGTACTCTGAAAGTTTCATAGCTCCACCAGTATTCGGACACAAGCAGCAGGGAGTGGTTGACTTGACACCCGCCTCACACTGTCGACACATCCATGATCCCTCAGGGATTTGGAGAATGCCATAACACGCCTGGTGAACACACAGGAAGCAACCATCACAAAAGACCAATTCGTTTCCATCTTCACCTTCAAACTAAACCAAATAATGGTATAATATAAACTACAAACCGATAAACATATGTCACATCTAGCATTTTCATCGAATTCTAAAGACTGCATGTCTATCTCCTTAATTTTCTCACGCATCTTAACATAAGTAAGATACTCTAGTGTACTGATGACCTTCTCAAGCATCCAGTCCTCAACAAGTACTTGTCCTAAGCATTCTCTTTCTTCGTTTACAGTTGCAATCCACGAGTAATCTAAATCATCGATGTTGTAATATGGAGCAATTTTTTTCTTTTTAACCAACATATGAGTGGTTTCGTTAAAGTTACCACCGGTAGATTCAACTCGAAGTTTCTCAGGCCTTCAGAGGTAAAAATAAAGATGTAACTTACATAATAAATCGAGGACAACGGCGCTTTGGGCATGTAATGTCAAGTTTCCTAAAGTAACAGTTTCGTTCACAAACTCACTTATAGACAGGTCGAGGTTGACTACTAGCATCCTTTACAGGAACTTGAACTCCTTCCCGATACCATTCAGACTTCCAAGAGTTTAAAATTAGTACAAGATTATCTTTCCTTCCGCATTCACTGTCAGCACTAATCATCATTGCAGATAGGGGATGTCTATCAAAGACCTATGCCTGAGTAAAATCTAAAATATTCAGTACCTCTGCAGGAGCGTTTTCATCGCAATCAGGGAATGATGGCTCCCAGTAACGTAATATCCGTCTAACCTCGTCACAACTTCCCATCTCAATAATTTACTGCTACCGCGAACATTCAAAGCACGCGCGCGTGAGATTATACAGCAAACTATACATAAGTGATAACACTTGCCGGAAAATAGCTATATAAGTGTGGATTAAACGAGAAATTCGAAATTTTCGTCCATTTACCTTGAGATTGTAACTTTGTGCTCCATAAAAATGACTGGCGAAAATATATGTACCCTTGACCCTGAATCAAGGTCACTGGAATCCCAGCCCTTTCAATAATTTCAGACTTTAACTGTAAAAACTCACCTTTTCGTGCGAAACTTAAAAAAGTCTACTCTGAGAAAAAGGAGTGGATTTCATAGTTCTATCTGGTTTCCCAAACTGGATTCTAGAATATGTTATCAGATAGTGAGAACAAAATATATCTGGAGTATGAATATTCATGATGTATAATGCTAACTGTTTCGGACGAATGTGTTTATCATATTCACGTCAAAATCGGGAACGTAAAGTTAAGCTTCCTACATACGAAGAACAAATGACAAGTATCATCCATTCGATCCGCTGTAATTTTAAGTTTTTGGTCTTTTGTAGCGTGGAGTGCTAAGTCATTTCATCAAACGTTCATGTCTTGAGCTGACTGAAGGAGGCTGTTCACGCAGCTTCACCAGATCAAGAGTGGCTACATCGTACTACGCATCTATTAAAACAGTTGACAGGCTTAGACCAAATACGTTCCTAAGTGATTTTTCGAAACCTTACGAAGGTTTCAATGGGGCTAGTCCCGAACGTAGAGACCCAACCGACACCAAGTTGTAACATGACTTAGCAACAGACATGCTGCAACGAATTCAATAGTTCGTCGATCAACGGAGCTTTGGCGAGAGCCTGTTTGACAGCGTTTAAACTTCCCCATCAGGTTCAGGCAGTTTTTGTCTCATTCCGAAATAACGCCATAGATGAATAATCTGAATCTGTCGACCGGATTCTACACATTTCCAGAACTTCATCAAGAAAGCAACAGGAGACAACTTTATTTGCTACATACTGACCATCAAATGTCATATTGTTCTTAATTTCCAAAAGTCACCAATTATTACTGGGAATGAATGATTTGCCCACTTCCGGAACCAAAATGTCTAGTAGCTCCATCTGACATTTTTCGTGTTGTGCTATTTTTCTATATAACTCCTCCTGGTAGTGATCTATTTATTCTTAAGAGTAAACAAAATATCGGGTTATGGTGTCATTGCATTGTTTAGTTTCTTATATGAATAAGCAAGCACATCCTCTGAGTGTTCATCTTGCGCAAAGGCTAAAAATTTGTTATCAACAAAAATATTTAATACAAACGGCTGATTTTCTGACAGCTTTAGAGTTATTATCAATATGAAATAACATGAATATTAAAACGTGAAACAAACCCGATGCGACTGTTGGAAATGTACCAATTGACAATACGAGTTTTACTAATGTTATCTACATTCACATGTGAGAAGTGTTATTCCCCATAACTCTATAACCAATGTGCCTTATAAAAAATCAACCTGAATAACTTACTACAGTGAAAACTGTATCTTCTGTAACAACTTGATTTGTCTGAACTGGCATGCCTTGTGTAACATACAGTTATTTCAGAATAAAATATTTTATTATTCACTTAGTGCTAATTTTAGTAGTTGTGGGTTCCGGAGACTTATTTTAAATGCTCATGTGACCAACAATCACATGATAGTTTAGTCATTGTACCAATGCCGGACGATATATTAATCCGGTGACTTTGTTATCATAGCTGTGTTAAACGCCTTTTTATGAAATTAATATAATAGTTTGATTTACAAACCCAAATATACATAACAACGCTGACCGCTATGGGTTTGGTGGAAAATTTTAAATGCGGTTTAAATAATTGTTAGATTCAAATGGCATAGAAATTATATGATGCAACGCATGTACAGGTCAGGTCAATATGTACGCTTATGAGGAATACAACAGTTAAAAAGGACTTGACAGGAAAAAGTTAAAAGTTGAAGGGTGACATATGGAAATATATGTTAAGTATATGACAGGTATTATATATAATTCTCATAGATAATTACTGTATTTAGCCAAATGGCTTTCAAGGATATGTAGTATTGATAATCGGAACTAGGAAGTGCAAAATTAACGTTCAATCTAGTGGGGTTTGTAGAATTTTGGTCTACTATGATATTAGTACTGTTCTGATAATAGACCTTATTTTAAAATGGTAGATTTGTCATGATGTCACTGCCTTATCTATAAGATCTTACGTGGAAGTTGCATCACTGACTACACTGACTCATCGTATCGTGACAACTACCAATATATGATGGAGAACACATTCAGACTGGAGATAGAACAATATATTTAATATAAGTAAAAGATATAAGGTAACGTTCAACAGGGACCACGCCTACAAGGCCGAGCCATGCCATCCGATCAACGCGAATTAATTCAGTTCACTGTTACCGCCTTCTTCACTGTTGGGTTTTTCTTCACGTCAAATGCTGAATATCTAGTTCCCCAATTGCCTCATTTTCACCTTTGAGGATTGTGTAGTTAGGGCCCAATGCCACTACAGGTTCTCCTGAAAACAATACACTTTCTCATGGCAGTATGTTGTTATTCCAAGCTATTAAATATGTCTTATCCCGAAAACAGCTTTAGGAGTGTTTTATATCAAATATTTACAGCTAGTCTTAATAAATATAAATGTTAAGAAGTACCAGAAACATAGTAAGACTGGCCTGGATTCTTTTCGGAATTTAGATAACCTAGTGGATTTGTCAAATAGAACCCCATGATGTGTGATACTGTTGACTTTTTGTCACTTGGTCTATTCAGTACAAATCCTGGAGTTAAGATAAATATATGGCTATCACTGTATGAACAGTCTGAAATGAAATTAAGAGCGCATAAACTTTATAGCCTAAACTTACGGTAAGTTTCCGGAATATCGTCTTCATTTTTTGGCAATAGGACTGAAAAAAAGAAAATTAGACAGGCAGTGGTCGAAGGAATAGATACTAGGGAATAGTTCATTTTTAACATAAGTAAGAATCTATCGATAAACCAAAAATGAAGTTAAGATTAATAACATGCTGAGTTTCTTTGGTCGGTCTCACCAATGTAGATCACACAGATGATCCTTGTCGAATGATTGGGGGCCTACTGGAGTTAGACGGGAATAGTACGACGACTAAGATAACCCCAAAGCCACACTTTGCGGTGAGAATCTATCTTGGATTACCCTTTCGTCATACCAAGGTACTATGACTGATTTGAAGACCATATAACACAACGGACGTTATTACAAGAATATATTGGCAAGAGTAAGCACAAGGAAGAGAGTGCAAATACCACTGCATAGAACAATCCATAGTATGTGATAGTGTCCCCTCGTGTCCACCATTGTTGACCTGCTTTTAGTATTACATGTTGAAAGTAATTCTGCTCAGCAATTATACACTAAGCTTCGAAGATCGTGTGGTTAGGAACCTATACCACTGCAAGTAGACACGTCAGACAACTTGGGCTCTACTTTGTGACACAATTTTTACCGACGAGATCGAGAAAGGGGAATGAGGATGAAGAGAAAATATGTCGTTTAACGGAAGATTGGTTATCTATTGATGCCTAACACTAACTGTAACTTCTAATCTTCGCAACAGCTGATAGACTACAAATAAATTTTGTGACGTTTTTATCAAAATTAGCATTTTCAGCTTAGTGAGAGTCAGTCGTCATGTTGTGAGATATTAAGTGATGTTTTTGCAAAGTTAAGGACGGTCAGGAACCTGAAGGAATGTTGTATCAGATGCCCGGGTAGGTATTGAAGAAATTGGAAAAGAAGTTAGTCTGTTTTTTATGTGAAAATAGCATGCTATTTGTGGGACATGTTTACGGAGATAGGAAGTTCTCATAGGAAGGTTACAGAGGGCAAGCATTGCCAGATATATAGAAGCAAACAACTGACCACCGACAGTTGATATACATAAAGCTGTCCAAAGTACGTACATTTAAATCCATCCTAACGGTTGAGGAACTTTCGTGCCTTAAGGTAACCCTCGTGCTATTGATAGAAGAAACCAGAGAAGTTGTGAATAGGTCTTTATTTCGATCTTCGCGCAGTCGCAGTGGAGCGTGGGATTATCTGTTCAGACAAACAAAGGCTCTCAACATTCAATATAAGATAATAGGGAATATAACGCTTATACAAAACAAGGAAGTGAATGAATACTTGAACAATACTGTTTTGGCATATGCTTGGTTGTTTGGGGTCAACTCTGAACCAACCAACCTTAGCTGTTACATTAGCTTCCCCCTAGAATCGACTTCCTTAGGAACGTCGGTTCGATTAACCTAACTATCGAAAACGCCTTAGTTCTATTTCTCATCCCAAGGGAAAATTATCAACTCGCTCACTGTTTGATTTACAATCAGTGACGACTGACGCTGTCAACGATAGTCCATGGATGTCTCTTCACTTACTAGCTTGTCATTTTATTTTGTAGCATGTGATTTCTTCTACAACTATCGCCGATGGTTTGCTGCGTGCTTTCAAGAGAAAAAGTGTGAGAATGTGGAATAAGAATATCTGAGGAAGTGCCGCGAGCGGGCTACCCAACACCATGTTGGTGAGGTACGATTTTTCCGTGCTCAGACCGGCTATCAGGTGTTTACTCACCTGCCTCTTGAGTCGCCCTCAAGTAAAAAGTAAAGAAGAATCTACTTCAAAGGTGATGGTGAAAATCAAGCAAACCTGAAGAACTGCTCCACTGCCTGCATAAAATAATAAGATACAAAATGGAAATACATAAATGTAATTGATGATTGTTCGGTTCCATGTAAGTGCTTGGTCTCCAGAACGGATTGGTATTCTGGAAGAGAATAGACATAGTGTAGATATCTTGTGCACGAAAAACCGTGAAAACAAAAAAATACTCTTTTGTAATGCATATATGTAAAAGGGTGAACTTGCTAGAAGTTGGACTCATTGTCAAACCCGATCAAACGCGTGACCTTGAGCCTGTGATGACCGCGTTTTACAACTAGGTGCGCAAC